CTTCCGCCCAAAGAGTTCAGAAGTTGGGCTGTGGAGAATGTCACACGTTTGATTGCTGAGAGGTCGCCCATCACAACGGCCAAAAGTGTGAGGGTCTGCCTTTGGCTTCTCTCTGTACGTGCACTTCCTTGTAGACACATAGAATACAAGGACGCTTCGTTCGCTTCAGCCCTCCCGTCTAGGTTTTAGGGTTTCGGGTCCTAGGGTCTGGGGGTTGGTAGGCTAGGGATTGCAAGTAGCACGCCCACAGCCCCTAAATCACCCAAGACTCCCACAACTACTGAATCCCCACCTGGTAACATGAGCATCTCCGGGCGTCTTGCAGGCTTCAGAACTGAGGGTTTAAATGTTAGTCTTCAGGATGAGGGCTTAAGGTTTGGGTTTCAGAATTTCAGGGCGAAAGTTTAAGGCTTGGTGTGTTAGGGTTTAGGGTTTAGGGTTCAGGGGGGTAACGTAACGTGTGCTTGCAAGTAGCCCTCGACTCCCCCAGCAGGCAGCGCCCGTTCTCTCTTCGGTGGCTCCGGCCCTGATTCAGGCTGGAGGGCTTCTGCCGGGAAAGTTTTGGTTTTAGGGTTTAGGGATGGGCCATATCAGAACAGCTACGCCACCCCAAATTGGGACTTAAAGTTGAGGAGCCGGCCATACCTGGCCCGGGCAACTCGGCTCCCAAGGCTTACATCGTTAGCAAGTTGGTGTTGAGGGTTTAGGGCAAGTGTAAGGTTGAGGGTGTAGAATCTAGCATTCAGGGTCTTAGGGCGTAGGGTTTAGGGAAGAACTCTGTCCACCCTAAAATGGAAAAGCACCAGGCTGTGGGAGCTGCAGATGGAACGCGCGGTTGAGTGAGGATTGGGCTGAACTACAAAGCTCACCGGCCACCTGTTTTCGTCGCATAGGCCTTTTGTAGACCCTGCCAGCTCCCAGATGCCTTTTTTTGTGATGCTGGCCGAATCTTACAACGAGCAACCCCCACCATAGCCCTTACAAAGCTGGCAGCAGAACGTTGATGCTAATGGATGCCCAGTGTTGGCTCATGTTAACTGAAGTTGGCTGAGGACTTCCAGGTCATTAGGGAATGTGACTCCCCTGCTGTCAGGAAGGCCCATTCGCGTCTTGGGTTCGGCAGAACCGTACGGCACAGTAGATCGAGATATACATGCAGCCATTCGCTGCCTATTGAGGCTTGAGGGTGCAAAGCCTGAGGTTTCGGGATTCTGACACTGCGCTGTCCCACCACTGGTTGGAGGGGCTGCCTTAAGAGGCCTAGTTTAAAGGTATGGAAATCTTGACGTAGGTACTGAGGCACTGCTTTAAACCCCCCCCAAGCTCAGCAAAAGGCGCTGACCAAAGTGTCGCGCGGCGCGCTGACTGCTGCTGCAAGCGCAGCAGCCGCCACCGATGTGGGAAGCGAGCAGCTTAAGCGGTTCTTCTTGGGAAACATGCAAGCAGGCAAGCAGGTGGTAGAGGTCTTGTGCCGTGCCAGTGCCTGCAGGGAAACTGTTAATATTAGGAGTTTGAGGTATGGGAGGGGTTACCTTTCGGGGTACCCCTATGATTGGAAATGCCCACATAAGGGAGTTTACGAAAATAGAGGGGACCCTTCATCCAAACCCCCCCCTTTTCATAAGGAAAGTCCCAAGCCCCAAACCCTAAACCCTAAACCCTAAACCGATGGGGTATATAGAATCCCTAAGCCGACACCGAGGCCGGCAGGAGGCCACGGATGCCACTACGGCCTCTGCGGCAGCAGCTGCGGCTGTGGCCCGCGCGTTGCGCGCTCTGGTTCCAGCTGCGAGCTTGGGTAGCTTTGATAGCTTTGATAGGGTTAAGGGCAGTTTAGTATTTGGGGTTTAGGACTTAGGTTTAGGGTTGAGGGTTTTTGGGGTTGAGGGCTGAGGGTTTAGGGTTAGGGCTTGGTAGCGCCGGTGAGCAGGTTGATGGGTCTGGAGTCAAGGCTTGGGCTCGGGCGCAGGGTACACTCACGGACCTGGCCGTAAGACAAGCGTGGAGCCTCCCAAGATCAACCCCAGATGCACGCATGCCATGCATGAACTCAATTGGATGTCTAGTGTAGGGCTTACATTTGGGTTGTTGATCAACGGTGGTTGCATGCAGAATGCCTGCTGACAGCAAGCCTCCCCGGGTGTTACATGTTCTTGGTCTTTCTAGGGTTGTGCCGCTTTTGGCTGGAGGGTGTTGAGTTTAGGTTCTGGGGCTTAGAGTATATGTGGTTTAGGAGCTTGGAAGCTTCTGGGGGCATTTGGAGGACACGCCATGTCGCGCCAGGCTGCTGCGACGGCGGACATGTTTGCACCCTTCGCGCCAGAGGCACAGAACTGGTGCTGCTTTGGAATGTTAGGATGACGGTCTAGAGAAGGCCGCACATCGGATATACGAGCGCATCAGGCGGCTGCAATAGTGTAGAACGCAAACTGGAAAAGCCTTCAGCTGGCAAACTGGTATCTGCAAAGATTCAGAGTTGAGTTAGGCAACTTCGTAGGCTGGTCAAAAACTCCATTGGGGCCTTGAAAGGCTAAAACAGTGCAAGGGCTTCTCAGAGGTGGATCAGATGAGGTGGTGCAGGTGAAGGGACAGGAGCATCTACGTGAGTGCCTGGCGTTAATTCTCTCAGCGCTACACCTAGATATATAAGGCCATGAATGAAACCCCAAGCAGCCTAAACCGTCAGGCGTGTATAGTTCAGACCTTGCCCCTTGGCTCCCGAGAGGCAGCGCAAAGCCTGGTGTCCATTGCTGCGGGCTCAGCGCAAAGATCCCAAAAAAAGATCCCAACAAAAACGCCAAAGCCCTACTTTGAGAACCCCCAAATCAAGAGGGTAGAGGCAGGAGTCTGTTGAAGGGACTACGACTTAGAACAGCACGGCATGCGCAGCTTTGCTTCCCTGATCTGTGGGTCGTTACAGACCCACGAGTTGCACCTGATGGGCCATACGCCCTCCAGCGTTGTTAAACGTAGTGCAGGTTCCTTCATCTGCGATGACTTTGTGTGTGCACAGACATTCGCGACACGGAAATATGTCAAATGGAAAGGCAAAAGCTCAAAGCCTACATTCATTAGAACCGTATGCAGGTACACAGTGAACATATTATCATTTTGATGCCTTCACACTTCGCTTCAGTATTCGCTCTTTGCAAAGCCATGGGCCATGAAAGGGAGAGCGATAGATAGAAGCATAAAGGCATGCGTTTTTCGGGTTGAGCTCTGGCTGTGCTTCTCCCCCTTCAACAGGACTTGCGTGTCTTGAGTCCTAGGCTAATTGGGCCACAGAGTCCGCGATTCCACGCTCTGCTGTCTCTTGCCCCCCCCTCTCCCACCCCGCCGCCTAAAAGCCCTAAAACCTAAACTCCGAAGACTCCTGAAGCCCCCTCCGCGGCCGCCGAAGTAAAAAGCAATGCTGGAAATCCAGGTACCTTAAAAGCCCGCAAAGCCTTCCCCCCAAAGTTTCGTGCTTCGCCCAGCTTCGCACGGCGAGTGTTTCGGCTGGACCAGGCCAGGACACGCCAGGACCGAAGGAATCAGATTCAGGGTTTTGGGATGTAGGCTGAGGGCTTAGGGTTCGATAACTCTGAGATCCTAGGCAAGACCGTCTTGCTAAGCACTTGCAACTTCATCCGCAGGGCTCAGCACAGCCAGTTCAGAGGGCCCCACGGATTGAAACTCCTTCTTGATTTTAGCCGGTTTGGGTTTGGTGCTCCATCCCTGAACCCTAAACCCTGAACCGCAGCCCGTAGGTCTTTAGGGTGATCAAAATACCCACCCTTGAGTCCCTTATTAGCGATTCTCGCGGTGCAGGTACAGACCCAGGCTATGGCGGTGACTGCAGGGTTCCGGTCACTCACTAGGCTTTGTGGGTTCCGGCTTAAACCCTGGGTTCAAGATAGCCGGTGAGTAGCCCAAGGTGACGTTAAGCCCAGAATCCCCAAAACCATCTAAAAGCCGAAAACCCTACGATGTCTACAACCAAACCCAAGAGAACCCTTAAACCCCAAAATTCCTTAAGTTAAAGCCAAGACTGAAGCCAAGACCAGTAGAGACTTCCTGCGGCCAGGCGCTGTCGGAAGTGGACCTTCGCCCTTGCTGACACCAGCCGCGTGGAATCCCAGGGCTCGAGCGTTTCGTGGTAAAGGATGCTCAGTATAGGGGTCGAAGAATTACTAATAATATTCCCTTATGGTTCCTTTGCAATTGCACTTTAAGAACCCCCCAAAACCCTATTCTCCTTCTTCAGGCCCCTATATGAGTGGGAATCAGGTAGGTAGGGCTCATATTGGAGAGTTTAAGATGTAAGCAGCGTGTTGAGATGTGTGCGTGTGTTAGGGTTCAGGGTTTTGCTGAGGGCTGTAGGGATAGGGGATGTCGGGTCTGCTCTAAAACAGGGGAGGGAGGCCCAAGGGCAGGCCGCCTAATCTGCTCTACCGTTCCTTAAGCTTCTAAGGTTTCATGAATACCTCCTCTTCTTCACCCAAAGCCTCATTATTTTTGACCACACCCCATGTTGAGGGCCAGGCCAGGACTGTCAGGAGCCCCAATAGAAGTTCAGGAGCTTCAGGGCGTTGAGGCAAATGAGCCCCCCCCCCCTCCCCCCCGCCCCCCCTCCCGGTTATTGAAGTCTCCCTCTATAGTATATTTCCGTGGAGTTGAGGGAGCCAGGTACCATAAGGGCCCAGAAAATTTGCCAGCAGTTGGCTTGGGTTGACGGCTTGGCCGAAAACAGCTGTGGCCGAGGTATTGGCGGCGTGCCTGGATGCGGCAGGCTTTCCCCCTCACCATGCAGCGCTAAGAGCTTTACGAACCCTAAGAACAAGACGTTTAGGGTTTAGAGTGTTGAACGCACTCCATGCTAAGTAAGGCGACCCTGCACCCTGCAGCCGGTGCAGGCATTTCCTGAAATATCTTGAGAGTCAAACCTCCTAAAGTGGCGCCCCTGAGCAGCCTCAGGCTAGAAATCCAATAAATAATAAGATTACGAAAACATTGCAAAAACAATGGGTCGGAAAATGCAAAAATACTGGTGCCGAAAATGCGAAAAGATGGGTCCGAAAATGTGTCCGAAAATGGGTTTCGGGCAAAAGTGTGTCCGAAAATGGGTCCGAAATGTGTCCAAAAATGGGTCCGAAAATGAGCCGGAACTCAGTGCTCTCTTGCTTCTCAATTCAAAACAAAAGCAATCCCAATTTCAAGCCCAATGTCGAACCCGTTTTCGGACCCATTGTCGGAGCCCTTTTTGGACACATTTTCGGACCCATGTTTTTCCCGAAACCCATTTTCGGACCAATTGTTCCCGCGTTTTGTGGCTTGAACCCATTTTCGGACCCATTGTTTTGGCAATGGTTTCGGAATTAATTTCTGCCAAAAGATTCTAGTGGTTGCCTGAAGGGGCCCCTTAACCCTACAGAGCCCTGCACCCGAAGCATCCCCTAACCCAGAGCTTTGCTTGAGCCCCCGAAAGCCTTGAACCCTAACACAAAACCCAACCTGCAAGGTGCCGTCATCGCTTCTGCTTGGGCGGATCCCAGCTTCAGAGCGGAAAAGGAGGTGGCGGCTTTGGGGGGCTGGGGGGAGCTTGGAATTGTGAGTTTCAGGGTCGCGGTTTAGGAGGTTTAGGAGTTAGAGGACTAGAGCTGAATTTTGAGTTCAGGCTTTGGAGATGTTAGTTGGTTGGGCTGGGTGTCGCAATGTCAGGTTTGGGCAGCTTGCGCTGCTAGTGCCTGCTCAGCCGTGTCATACTAAGGTACCTTTCGATTCTGACTTAGACAGCTACCTCAAAGCCTTGAAATCCGCATCCTAAGCTTCCCTTGAACCCAAGGCTAAACCCTGAAGAGCCTGAGGGCCCTAACCCAACCGAACCCAGAGCTGAAGTGAGAAGCGGGGAGCGTTGAGTGGTACAGTAGGGTTTAGGGTTTAGGGTTTAGGGTTTAGGGTTTAGGGTTTGGGGTTTGGGGTTTGGGGTTTGGGGTTTGGGGTTTGGGGTTTGGGGTTTAGGGTTTAGGGTTTAGGGGCTTCAAGGGTTTCGTGCTGTGGGGAACGGGATTCGGGGTTCAGGGTTAAGGGCTGGGGGTTGGAATATAGGGATGCGGGGACAAGTGGTGCTCAGAGATCTACGCTCTCCACCCCCCAAGAGCAGCGGGATACGACGGTTCGCTTTCAGCAAGTCGGGCTTCGGATGATGCTTGGGGGCATGGCTTTTGGGGGATTTGGGGCTTTGGGGCTTGGGGTCTATACTTGGGGCAGTTCAACCACGCCCCTGGCAGGAGCTTGCGTCAACAGCGAGCAGCGTCCTGATGGATGCGCGTGCACCGAGCGAGGCAGAGTCAGTTTGGAATGTCTGGCAGTTGTACTGCGAATCAACCTTGTCATAAACAACTTGGGTTGATGTGAATCATGTGCCCTAAACCTAAACTATCATCAGCATTTCCCAGAATAGAGATCCCCATACAGGACCCGCAATGTAGATCAAGCGCAAAAAACGGGCTTCGGGTTTTCTGGGGTTGCCTTGCCCCGCAACACTGCGTCGAAGGTTGGTCCAGGGAAATATCCCGAAGGATGTTGGAGTTTGGGGTATAGGGTTTCGGGTTCAGGGTTCAAGGTTTAGGGTTTAGGGTTTTTACACAACCCCACCTTGAAGCCTGAATGAAAGCAGGCTCTTGGTCTTTGTACTCCTTAAGCCCCTCTGCTAACAGGCCAAAGCAGCCGCTCACAGCTTCTACGCGCAGATGGCGCTTGCACGATTCGAGGAGTGGACGAATCCTTTTGGAAGGATTTGGGGATGAAGGGTCTTGGGGTCAGAAAACCGGGAGGTTGTTTCTGGCGTCTGAGCATTCGGGCCTGAGGACTTGACCTGGCAGCGCCTCTTCGTGAAACCCTAGTCCCAAACCCGAAACTCACATTTTGGGGCGTCCATGGAAATCACCGGAGCCCTTCTGTGAGCAATGCGCCGAGAGGTTCGGGGGTGCTGTGGTCAGTGCCTGTCCGGCTGGCTGTAGGTTTTCGGTGTCAGTCAGGCCCCGGAGGTGCCTGAGGTACTTGCGCCAAATTCCCGCCCCCCAAGAAAAAACTACTATCGGCTCATGTTCCTTAGTTTGCGGAGGCAGGAGATGAACAGTTTAGGCTGTGAGCCGCTGCCTTATGCTGCAGCAGGCAAGCCCTAAGCACCAAAAAGCACCAAACAGGCACGCATCTAGGCACAAAGTCAGATCAGCATCTTAAACTCAGAAGATCTCTCTCCTCAACGCTTACAGTCCGCGGCAGGCGCGTGCCTATCGTGACTAGCACGCTGGAAGCCCTAAACCCACAGACACTGCAACGAGCCAGAAGCCGATAAACCAAAAGGGATCGGCCGAGCCATCCTTTCCCCCTGAACGGCGATTCTTTTATTCTTGGGTGACCCTGAACCCCACACTCCTCAGTCCGAATCTCCCCGCAAGAGCAGGAGTTTGCTCCAACCTTGGATACGGTGCCCGATCTTAGAGGGAATGGGGGTACGGGTTTTGCTACTTTCGGGGTGGGGCGGCGCCGGCTGGCCTCAGTTGTATGGGTACGGCCCCTGCGTTCCGGGCTGCTCTACGAGGAGGTGACCGGTTGAATCGGCCAAGAACCCGAAGCCTGAAATCTCGAAGAGGACCCCCAACGCGATGCGAGGAACCCTCAACACCAAACCGCAACGACCGACAGCTAAAGCCGCCCAACCCAAAAAGCCCTAAGGCACTGAAACCCGATCCTACCCTAAGCAGGAACCCTAAACCCTAAACCCTATAAGCCCTAAAACTATAGACGAAAGCCCCAAAGCCAGGTACTGCCTTTCGCCCTAGAGGCGATGCGTGCTGCGGAAAGCGGTGAGGTTGCGCCGCACTGAGCGGGGCTTGACGGTTCATTTGGTCTAGCTGGCTTTTTGGGCGCCCCTTTTTGTTTACAGGGTCTGTCCCGGGTGGTGGAGGTGGTGTAAAAACGAGCCCTCCAACCCCTAAGCCACCTAAAGCCCCTTCTTAAGCCCACGAGCAAGGTGAAGCACGGGCGGCGGCGAGCCGTTCGCACAGGAAGCCACGAGGAGACCAGGGGCCTGGGAAGTTGGTCTTTGGCAGGGTTTTGGAGTTTTTGGACTCAGAGTCTTGCATACGTCCCCCCCGTTTCCCCCCTTAATGAATGGATTCACGAGGTCTGGAGGGCGCCGAAAGTGGGGAGTTAAAGGGGCTCTACATAGTCGTTTTGACCCAGCGGGGGGTTGTTTTTTGAGAGGCTTGACCTCTTGGAGAAGCCTGCCCAACCTTTGTTAGTGGCGCGGTTATAGTTGAGTTCCGGGATTTGCTTTGTTTTGGTTTTAGTTGGGAGGGTCGAGGATTAGGGTTAGTTAGGGTCAAGTTTCTTGGTGACAGGAGCGACTGGCTGCAACTGAAGCTGTCGGCACCTACGTGGCCGCGGTGGGCGCGCGGTGTCCTGGCACGAAGAGGCTAAGCTAGATGCAGGTCGACTTCTGGCACAACCTTAGGCGAACCCCGAACCCTTGAGCAATCAATTCGGGCTTTAGGAAAATAGGGTCTAGGACCTGACTGTTGGCTTTGCAGAAAAATGCAGCCATGGCAATGGGTTAGACGAAAGCTGATTCTCTGGGAACCAGTAGTGGCTTGAGGTTCATTGAGAGGCCATTGAGGGCTCTGGGGCTTTAAGGATTCCGCTTGTACGCTTCAAGGGGATTGGGGTAAAGAGAGACTCAGCAAGTCAAGCTTAGGGTTCGGAGCTTGGGGGGTTTCTTCGGACCTAAATCCAGACGCTCCCGAAGCCACGGCAACCTAAAGCTCTTAAACCGACTTTACAAAAACTAAGCCTGTAGACCCGAAACCCGAAGAAATCCTCCGAAGCAGAACTCCAAGTAAGTAACTCCAAGTCCAGGTTTGCCCCTCACCTCCCGAGCGCACTCCCAGCCGTCTGCGCGCAGGCCTCCAGATGCGCACCCCCTCACGGCCCTAAACCGCAAACCCTGAATCATGGGTGCAAGGGCTTCAGGATTGAGTGCTTCAGCGCCTTGGGGCTTTGGGGCTTCGGATTCTGGAAGGTGCTTGCAGGGTGGGTGGTCTTTGAAAGGGGGGGCAGACTTTAGGGACACCCCCAGAGCTCTTGGGGGGGGAGAGGTGGTCCCGACCCAAGATAGCCAAGTTACTGAAGAGCCGAAGCCAAAGCTGACGGGTGTGCGTAAAGGGTAAAGTAAACTGATCCAGAGGCGTGGGGTGCAGAACTTGCATTTGGCATGGAGGCTTGAGGCGTGATTTCCTTCAATCTCGAGATGCTTCACGGCTTCGGGGCTTTGGGATGGCTTGACCTTTTCCTATGCAGACGCGCAAACATGTCTTGCATACCTCAAAGGCAGGTGAATGACTAGCAGCACCCTACTTCCTGCACGTTAAGTCGGCAAAAATGGGTCCTTGTGAGAAGCACGCCATGCAAATTCAGAGGGCTATTCACTGCTACACACCCACATACGTGCCTCAGATTGACAGGCCAAGCATGCCGACCCTGGTGTGCGGGCAGAGACCGCCAACGCGTTGGCCAAAATGGGCAGAGCACAGCACCTAGCGGCCCGCATGCTGAGGTTGCAAGTTGCAACCCTACACCGCGGTTTAGGAGGCTGCAAGCCCGAAACCCCTGACTGTACCTTAAGACGCCAGCCAAGGTCCTTGGCGATTTGGCCGGAGGCCTGGCGAAGCGAGTCCTACCCCAGCATACCTCGACTCCAAGCCCTGAAACCCTTAGGCTGCCGCATGAGGACCGCGAGGGTCAACCTTAAGCCCACATCCTACACACCCCACTAGTGGCCCCTGACAACCCCAAGAAGCCCTCTTGGCCCTACTAGCACCCCCTGAAAAAAAGGCCCCAAAAGCCCTCAGTACTCGGAGGCCTTCCTGAAGGGCATGCCGACCGGCAAGCCGCTTCGAGCCTCGCAGAGGCCGCTTTTGAGGGTTTAGGGTTTAGGGTTTACAGGGTTGAGGGGTTAGGGTTGCTAGACCTTGTGTTGGGTTCAGGTCCGGAGGTTTGGGCAAAAGTTTTGGGCGAGTCTTTTGGTTTGCTTTATGGGCCGTTTGGAGCTTTTTTGGGGCCTCGCGGGGCTCTGGGGCTTGCTCCCAAGCAGTTTTGGCCTTTCCAGGCCTTTTGCGGCCTGTTCCCTTCCGGGTGCCTTTGGCCTTTTGGGGGCCTTATGGGGCCTCCCCGGTGTTTTATTTGCATCCGTTTGTGGACCTGTTTTGGGGGGCGAGTCTTTGTGTTTTTCCGACTTGGTTAGACAAATTGCTTTGCACATACAAAATGGTATGGTGTCAAGTCCAGAGGTGTAAGTACATTGACGTGGTGTTGTGTGGCGCCAGCTTGTTTGGACAAACGAATTCCGAATGCCACGGGGCTTTGTGTGGTGCCAGCTTGATTGGACAAACAACTTGGTGAATCTAAAAATGATGGTTTAGGGTTCAGAGCTTCGGCACGCACGAAGGGTTTGGGGGTGGCCTCAGATTTTTGTTAAGGAGTTTAGGGCCTTCGGCTTTGAGGATCTCGGGTTTTTGGAATTGGGGGTTCAGGGTTCGTGGGTTCAGTACCGTTGGTTCATTCGGCGTCCTCGTATTTACGGGGCTGTCCTTGTTCCTTGTATGTGAGTGAGACAGCGACTCTTCTTCAATGACCCAGGCCTTAAACCCTAAGACCCTAAACCCTAAGCCCTAAAACCCTAAAGCCTCTAAGGGAGTCCGACCGCAGGCAGTGGCACGGGGCCTGTGCGACATTCTCTCGGAGGCCGCCAAGCACAGAAGCCTAGTTTCAACCTTTTTGGTGACGGGTCCTGAAGCCAATTTCTTGGGCCTTCTGAAGCCAACTTAAGGCCTTCTGAGGCCCATGTTGGCCTTCTGAAGCCTGACTTCTGAGCTCTGGGATACCCTCAGGTTTAAGTTGAGCATTTGGCCTCCCAGAGGTGTCTTGGGATTAATATACTTAAACTCAGCTTGTCAGCTGTTTAGATAACTTGGGAAATTCAGAATGCTGCCACATACAACTTCTATTTGTTTTGTCTTGAGGGCTTAGGGTTCAGGGTTTCTTTATGAGGGACGTTTGGGCACACGATCCCTGACCTTTCAGGGCTCCAGGCGTCCGAAGGCGTCTTCGCTTGAGGGATTCGCAGTCGACCCATCCCATGGTTTCCACCGATTCCCCCCAAGCACAAAGCATGCAAGAGGAAAACGCCTTATTGAAACATTCTAAACTTCTACCAACACAAGCATCCTTGAAATGCCCGAGATCCCTCCTCAAGCTTTCTCGAATTGGAAAACGTCCTGGGCCAAGCCCGGTGCGGAGCTGTGGGCGCTATGTGACATAGGGAGTTGGGGCTTGAGGGACTTTGGGCCGTTGGTCTGCTGGAGCGTTTTTGTTGGGTTGAGCCTTCAGGATTTTGATTCTGGGGCCGGGGAAACCCCAGCCCTAAACCCTATATATCCTAAACCCTGAACCCTAAACCCTAAAACTCAATTGCCGAAACTCCTGGTTGCTTCGAGGCTGGATCCTCGCCGCTGCGCTGCACGCTGCAGGCCAAAGAGGCAGAGGGCTTTTTGGCTCAGGGTTTAGGGTTATAGGGGTTTAGGGTCAGGTTT